AAGAAAGGCGAAGATTTTCATCAAATTTGTCAGGCCAACACGCTTCAATCTGGTATGTTACCAGTATTTTCCCTACAGAAAATGCCTAGTGCTCAGTTAAGTTGGCAGAACATTTAGAACCTAAACTTGTTTCAAAAAATATTACTCAAAAGGTGCCTTACTTTCTTTAGAGCAAAATAGGGATATAGCTACTGCTAGAATTTTAAATGAGACTAAAAGACAACTGTACACATCCGTAAGACAACTAAAAATATTCCTATAAGTAAAATCTATCTGAGCGTTAGGTAATTAATTGTGTAATTTTATTGTTTTGACCTGTTTCAGTTCTTTGACAAATCTCTTAGAAGACTGTCCCAGTGGAGAGGAATAAAAAGCAGCGGTGCGTTACAATATTGTAATTACAATTACAATGCAGGCATCTGCTGACAGAGGAGAAAGTTGAAGTTGGTTAGGCAATAAAATGTCGGAGTTTGACATTCAGCTCTCTCTCTTTAGTCAGTAAGTCCTGACTGTGTTTCTTGTAAGCATCGAACTGCAGCCAGAGTTTGCTGTACGCCCGCTTGCTGCTTTCCAGCTGCTGTTGGAGCTCTTGGACTCTCACATCACCATCTCCTGATGAGGCCTCCTTTGCACAGCGCTCTTCTGCTAGTCGCCTGGCTCCTACTACAGCCTCCAGCTTCTCTGCCAGCTGCTGAATTTGCTGCTGTTTCTCTTGCAGAGCTTTGCCCCTTTCCAGGGCCAAGTTCAGGAGTTCCTCCTTCTCCCGACACGCTCTCTCCAGCTTTGCCTCCAGCTCAGTGCCCTGAGCCTTCTGCTGACTTTCTTCCTGCTCTACCTGTGCGAGCGTTTGTTGGTGCTTCTCCTGTAAGTGCTGCAGCTGTTTTTTTAATGAATCGGCTTCCCTGCTGTAAGCACTTGCCTGTTGGGTCTGAGCTTCCAGCATCTCCTTTTCCCGCTCCTGGGCTCTGCGAGTCTCATAAGCGCATTTCTCCTGCAAGGAATCCAGCTGCCGAGAGAGCTCCCTTACCTGCTCCGTGAGCTGGAGCACTTCAGCTTCCTTCTCTCTCACAGTCTCACTGAAGAGAGTTTCATTCTCTTGCCTCAGGTGCTTGTTCTCCTCCAATAGTTGCATATTATGTTTCTTATGTTCATCCTTGAAGCGAATCATTTTCTCATGGTTGTCAGCCAGGTGCATGAAACGCTGCTCCAGACACTGAATCCGCTGGGTCTGGGCTTTCAGCTTTGCAGCATCCTCAGTCCTCAGCTCCTCCAGCTTCGTGTTGAGCTGCTCCAGGCCCCTGCAGCGCTTGTGTGCGTCGTCTGCCCTTCTCTTCAATATGCAGATAAGGCGATACTGTTCCTCTATGCGGGAACGAAGCACGGCCTTCTCACACTTCTCAACTTCAGGGATCCCGCAGAATTTCCACAGATCCTTGTTCAGGTCTTCTATGTCTCTCTCCGTCTCTGGATCACTTGCGGGATTGACCTTCCCAGAGTCTATCTTATRTTCAGCCATGGAGCTACTGTCTCTCACAAAGATGAAAAGAAGTTTCTGCTGACATTCAGCATATCTCAGCTGTCCCCGGTGGTTCTCATCTGTGTCCCACCACACTCAGCGACCAGGTAGAGAGTGTCCTAGGGRCATGGTTCTATCACCCATGGAGACCAACTCCTCCTGAAGGCAACAGGATTAGATGGATCTTGCAACCTATTTACAAGTTTTTGGCAATGTGTTACATATCGCATCTAAAATAACTGAATAGACTTGCTCTGTCCTTAGAGATTTATGATTTAAGAGATCTACTCAGTGCTAATAATTATTGAATCCAATGTGGTAAAAACACTTGGTGCTTGAAGAAATAGTTCATAATCTAAGTTTTAACAAAGATTTGCTGRATTATTTTAGGCACATAATAATTTTAAAAGTCTGTTTTCTCATCTGTAAAATAAATATTTGTGTTCTGGTAGCACCATAGCAATGCCTAATAATGCTGCATGGTACCCAGGTGTATGAAAAGCTAGTTTAAAAATTATCTACATTCTTTTCATTCAGACACAGAACCTAGAAATAGGCAGCATATAAAACAATATGCTGTTAAMCAGCATATTAGTTTTGTAAATGTCYTCGGTTTGTTTAGCTGGAAGTAAAGCAGGATATGTGACAGAAGTGGCTTAAAGAAAGGATTCGAGGAAAGGTGAAAAATACTGTAGAAATGAAATTTGTTCAGAAATGAATTCAAGCTAAAGGAAAGTCTGAGGCACAGAACCAGTCTACAGACGCAGAGCAACGTAGTGGCGACCGTCAGTGGGGACACTACCTCTAGATACTCCATCCCTCTGCTGCTCTTTGCCTTCTGCCAATGTATTTGGAAAGAATGGAGCAGAGAGAAAAGGACCAAAAAAGGCTGTCTAGTGAAAACGTGTCAAAGAGAAGGAATTAAGAGGAGAAAATGTTTTCTTACCAAGTGTGTTCTCTGTTTGTTGCCACTCCTACTGTGGGGTTTCTGTCTCCATGGGGATAGGACTTCAGTCACTCCAGAGCTGTTGCCTTCTTCTGTCCTGCTTGGAAAAGGTCCAGCTGAAGCTGGGCCAAGCCCAGCACAGTGACAGAAAGAATGAGGAGAGTTTTTTAGCAAACAAATGATGTGAACACCTTAAGTAGCGTAGCTTCTGTAAAAGGATTTCCAGAAATACAACACAAAGACCTCTCTCGGCCTGCACCGTTTGTAGCAGRGGAATTTGGAATCACAGGTAACACCGTCTCAGAATGTGCAGAACATCCACAGGCTCAAGTAAGGATCTAGCCCCTGCCTCTAAAATCTTATAAMTTTAATCAGCAGTTGATGATGAATCCGGCGGCTATGATGAGGAAGGGAAAAACATATGCAGCTGAAGGGAGAAGTTCAAGTTGCGACTTCTCATCTTGTTTGCTTCATAGCATTTTCCAAAGAGGGCACAGGACTAGGTCTTTCCAAATGGGTAAAATGAGGTCACCAAGCCAACCAAGGTTTGTAGGATTAGCGCAGAAACGGGAGGTAGAGGAATAGGGATTTTTCAGATACATGATATGGAAGGAGAGCTGTGAATGAGCAAAGGGGGAAAAGGTTGTGTTTGTCCCAGTGATTTGTCTGGAGCATTCTACAAGCATTGCTGATTTTTCATAAAGATGAACAGCAATCAGAGCAGGTTGATTAATTTATCAAACTCTCTTCTAGTGAGTTTCAGTTACATCTTAATTATATGACTTTAGAGTTCTGGTTATGGATGACAAGCCTTTCCTTTTGACTGCAGGGTAAGAAGAGACTTCCTAACACTTTGTCTTGGTCAACTGCATGAACATACATTTTCCTATCACATTAAGTGTTATCAATTCTGGAGCATCCTGCTGTAGTTAGGAATGATTATGAAGTTGATGGAAAACCATATTTACTACACAAGCCATGTTCAGAGGAATATCAAAAAAATGCACATTTTCAATCATTTTCATTGGGTATTTTCAATACAAAATTCCTGCTTACTTGCACAGTTAGATCCAATGATTGTCTTCAGAGATTGAGACTAAGACCTACTTCGGACATTTGTAATTCCCACAGATTGTTTATTGGACAGAAAGGAGGTTCCCCAGTAGGTTGAACAACACTGTCCCTTTCCCCCAGGCTCATGGGRTGTAATATCAAGTATTCTATATGTTGACTGCTGTATAATTAAGTTCAGCAACTGAGATGAGGCCGCCTTTGCCTCTCTAAGGAAATGCGGGATTTTAACAGCTTCTAGACCTATGCATCTACAGTAAATTAAATGTGCATTTATTTTGAAAAGTTTTTCCTCTGCATTTTTTTTTTTACATTCTGTACTGATAATACTTTCATTTTTCATGGAACAAAGAACCCTGTGGTGCTTTAATAGATTATGTTTATTAAAAACAAACCAACAAAACCAAAAACAATATAATACAATTTATATTTTATGCATTTAGCTTTTGTTACTGGTATTTCTACATGTGACAAATTCCACTCTTATTTCATATGCTGCAAAGCTACCAAACCAGGACGACCAGAATCGCAGCAGTCTCCTAATGGTGGTGCTAAAATACAGATTTTTTTTTTTTTTTTAAATACAAAACAAAACAAAAACAAACAAGCCAACAGATATAGGCATAGATAGTAAATATGCTTTACAAAATAAATAGCCAGCATATTTGTCGTCATTAAAACCGGCAATTTAGATGCAATCTGGAAAAAAAAAAAAAAAAGCCCTCAATATCTTCAGCATTTAAGAGCAAGGTTAATATATTTAGTAAGGTGATTAGTACATGTATATACAGACTCGTTATGACCCTGGTTGTTCATTGGAATTAACACTTCTCTGCATCTTGGCAAGGGAGAACATCAACAGTACCACCTYGTAGGATGTTTCTTTTATCAAACAAGATCCTTTTGCATCCTAGAAATGTAAAGCTATAGATAATTTTTTAATGAATTCTGCACACATACTTCATGTGGAGAGATCTGGCATAGCATTAAAGAGGACTCAGCTGTGTATTTGCACTAATGAGCATGGAACAACCCCCAATCTTTTGCYATTTTATTACTAACACCTCAAAAACAATACCAATGTGGCAAAGAAGAAAGAGCTGCCCTTTGACTGTCAGTTTAGATGTAGGAATCAAACCCACATCATTTAGGCAATTCCAACATCTAAATATCACAGCTACCTCTACCACTGAATCCTGTAAGTGCAATCTTACCTGAATTCATTTTCGGTGAATAAAAAAAAAATAAAAGAACTCCCTACATTTACATAATAATCTGCAGACAGCAGTTTCATTTGAAATAAAAAATGACATTTGATAGCACAAAACAGAACAGAATGAGAACAGACACCATCAAAAGAGCTACTGCTTTTCAAGTTTCTCTCCTCTATATTTTTTCTTCCCTCCATTTTTCTCCCCCTTTTTTTTTTTTTTTCCTCCCCTTCTATTTTTGCAATAGCAATTCAAAAGTCACTTTATTTTGTCAATTTTGCAACCATTAGCATCCTGAGAGGTAGTGTATCTTCTACCCATGTGTTTGGCGAGTTCATCATCTTCTCCCACAGGGCAGTTTCAGCTGAAGTTGAATCCATCCAGTCGACTGTAGTTCCATAGCTTTTACCTAATAAATAAATAAATAAATAAATAMATAMATAAATAAATAAATAAATAAAATCAGGTTTAAGAGAAGCATTAATCACTTAGTATGCTTCAAATTTGAGAGGAGATAATCAAATCAGCACTTCTTGTGTAAGAATCTAGAAGTGGATATTGAAAGTTCTGTGTCTTTTTACTCAGCAACTTCTGTCAAATATAATAACTGACAACTTTGCACAAAAGCAACATTATCTTTTTCCTCTGTGTATTATTMTTTGTTTTATTTTGTCAGAAGCCCAAGACAGAAAAACAAATACATGGGCTTATCTTCCACATAAATGGAACAAGATACAGAGACCTAACATCTAAGAGGAATTAAAAATAAAATAGGCCACTAATTTTGGTACTGAAATGCAAGTTTGGCTACTTAAACGTTCAGTCAGAGACTTCCTCCCCTATTTTTTTATTTTAGGTTATGCTTATAAACCATGCAAGAAGTTCCTTTGGGAGAAGTCATTTTTAATTTGCATTTCCTTGAAAAGACTCCAAACACATCCCTCCCACAGACCAAAGAGGGCAAAGAAAGGGACAAAGCACAAGGACTGAGCACACATGCAAATTTTGTACCAATTCACCTTCCAATACTGCCTTTTATGCTAAATGATTGTTTGCATTCATAGTAGTAATATTTTTCATCTTTTCTCTATTCCTTTTCCATATCTCCAAATCTTACCATGCATTCTCTCTCTCTCAAATCTCCACCCAGTACTGTCTCTACACTATGTACCATATTTTGCATGTGTAAATTTGTCCAAAGTTATCAAGATTTTGTGTGTAGATGCCACATATTCTGTGCTTCAAACGGTACCAGATACTATGAATGGACAAACACAAGTTTATTTCTAAGGTTTCTCCCAACTTCTCAGTCATCCCCATCCCTCATAATAATTCTTCTATTTACATTACAGTATCCAGGCTGAGGAGTAGATAAATTAATGAAACTCCTTAATGAAACTCCTTACTAAATAAATAGCTGGGAGGCTGTTCAGTGATCTTTGCAAAAAGAGAAGAAATAGAAAGGTAAAAAAAAAAGGAAACAAAGAATGATTAATCACAAGATTAATCTGCCAAGAGCCAGGTACCTGTTCCAAGGCCTATCCTGAGACCTCCCAAAAAATGGTTGGCTAGTTTGTGGTGATCCCAGACCGTGAGTTCTATGCAGGCTTCTTTCAAGTCTTCTGGTCTAAAGCCATCGTAGACCATGGTGTGGTTGAACACCGGGTTTGTAGTTTTTGCCACTGTTCTTGTTTTCTGACGACTTTTCCTGCTCGTATCTGGAAGAATGGTACTTGGAAGAATGGAGAAAGCATCGTCAGTTTGCATTTGGTCAGCACAGAGTGCATTAAACGCACTGAATCCCAGAAAGCTACTGATTTATGCTCTTCTTTGAGAGCTGCAACGTGCCTGAAGGGGCTTTAGCAGCACAGAGCTAGGCCACAGGCTGCATTCTCAGTCCCTCAAGAAGTACTGGCAGGATGTGTCCACCCATGGGTTTCAACCAAGGGCAAGGAAGTCAGGTGGGGAGGAGATCCCAGGGAGCTTGTCTGTGGGATCACCAACAGTGACGCTGAAACCGGTCTGTTGCTGCCAGAGATCTCCCAGCCATCTTGCCACTCTTCTCTCTTTCCATTTTAATGTGCTTGTGGAAAGGCAGGCGGGAGAAATACAACTGTGCTTCTCATTCCTGTCTCCTCCTGTGATGTGCTATGCTAAACTGTACTTTGACAACACCTTTTTTGTTTAAGTACAGCTAAAAACAGATGTAAGAACTAATTTAATGTTGACTAGCCATTCCACTAAAGAGCTAAGGAAACAAAGTGAAGCATAAGGACTCTAAAGGAAATTCTCTCAGTACATTACGATGGGTGGCATATACTTAGCATATTAAAGATACAAATCCTGCAGAATGATTTGCATTACAGTCAAATAGAATGTAATTACACATTATTTAATTTAAATTTAAAGAAAAATGGAGGATTAGAAAGCATTATTAGGCCACTACATGTGATGGTTATAATCACAGTTATTACCACTTAATAAAAGAGTTGAGCCTGTTGCCCCTCTGAAGAGGAAGGTCATGGCATTCCTTCACCCAAATGTGGACCTCMCCAGTGGTTGGAATCTTTTTTCCTTAAAAACAAAACAGGAGACATACAGCAGTGCTGAATACTTCCTACCAGTAGAATACTTGGTAAAAATTCTGCATAATGAATGAGAGGCAGAGGGAAWGGAGAACAAAACTGCTAAATAAGAAATCTTTCAAATGTGGGAAAAATATTTCTCATGAAAATTGAGAGCATATCTTTCTAAATTTACTTTGGACACAACCTCTCTGCTTCCAACAGGATGGAATATTCTACCCTTTCTGTCACAAATCCTTCTGCAACTACATGGTATTATTCTTTATTTAAAACTGAATGAAGTATTATTTTTTCTTTGTAGTACTTTCTTCCCTTCACAGAATTACAGAATTATAGAATTCTTAAAGTTGGAGGGGACCTTTAGAGATCATTTAGTTCAAACCCCCTGCACAGAGAGGGTCACCTAGAGCATGTGGCACAGGGCTGCGTCCAAGCGGGTTTGGAAGATCTCCAGAGAAGGAGACTCCACAACCTCTCYGGGCAGCCTGTTCCAGGGCTCTGTCACCTTGCGAAGAAATTTTTCCTTAAGTTTCTGTAGAACTTTTGGTGCTTCAGTTTGTGGTCATTTCCTCTAGGTCAGGAAAAGGAATTTAGGGAAAAAATAAGAACACTCTTAAACTTTCATCTCCCCCTTTTTTTTTTTTTTTTGGGGGGGGGGGGAGGGGTTTGCTTTAGTCTAACTATTTTTGACCTCTTCTCATCTTAAACAGTTATTTTTGCCCCTACTGCCTTTCTAAATATTCAGATCCTAAATTCCCCCTCTACCCTACACTTYGGAAAGGAGAGGTCTTGCTCTGATCTCCTCACCTCAAGACCCATTTGCCAAATTCTCTAATGATATTTTTCTACTTGGAACCAGATACTTTATTATCTACATAGACTGGATTTCAGACCTAATAGATTACAACAATTATAACAACAACATTATAATTTTTTCCGTAATAACAATAAAGACAACAAAATGGCCTTGGATCCTAAACTGAATTAATGACCACATTGACCCTGAAGATGAATTTATGCTTTTATATTAAAAAAGATGGCTGGAGATTTCACTTGTCCAAAGGCCTGTCAAACCCAAACAAAGGTAATGCCATACCTCCAACAGGCCGTGGTACGTACTGGAGGGCTATTTTCATTTGCCCTCTGTTTTCTACTTCAAGAGCCATTGTTGAAGCCTGAAATAATAAAAATAAGCAAATGAACAAACAAACAAACAAACAAACAAACAAACAAATAAAGTCACCATCCACAAACCTTGCATTTCACACTCACAGTTTCCTCTCCTAATTTTTCCCACAGAAATAAGCTTGACTTCTACAAGAGATTTTTTTTTCTTCTTTTCTTATCCTTCTGTCTTGTATCAACTTATCAGACACTGAGAGATTTTAAGGCAAGCCTAAGCACTGGACAGTGCAACAGTGGATATATATTCTCAGTAGACCTATTATATAGTTAGAAAACAAGTGCTCATATATCTATTGCAGCAACATGACATAATGAAGYAGCAGCCTGAAATTCCCACTTCTCAATCTTTGAGAATTTTTTTTGTATTATTAAATTGGTTGGCTCCTTACTATATTAATCAAAACCTCAGAATTGTATTTTCTGTTCACTAAAGTGAATTAAATGATTCTAAGCAGTACAAAAACTATTCTTCTCTGCTTGAAAGATCTGCAGAAGACAAGACCCAAGTAAACAATCACTCCGTCTTGCACTTACACAGTGAAAAATACAAACCAAATAATCCAACTTCCATAACCTACCCTTGGCTTAAGTGGAAACCAGTTGATCTGCTTGTTTATTTTGTCATTCCAGTCCCACATTCCCAAATCTAGCTCCACTTCACCAAGGAAACTGTTCCTCCCAAAGGTATCATTGTGCCAGACAGAGATATTCAGCCTCTGGTTCTTTAGGAGCGACTTCTCGATTTTATACTGCCAGGAGGGAGAAAGGAAAGAAAGAACATTGAACCCAGTGGGAGCTTAATCAAAGCCTTGTCTGAGAGTGATAAGGTTGGAGAAGATATGCCTGGATTCATACAACTATAAGTAATCATTTCTTCATTTCAAAACAGCTCTTTTCATGTCTTAATCCTATTTTAAAATATTTTAAATTCATACTTGGGTTTGCTTGTAAGAACTATAGGAAAATCAAAGTTTCCATGGTGTATCCATTAATGGAAAAAAAGGGTTCTTTTATGGAGCAAAGCATCTCGTTTTAATAAATAGACACCTGTTTTGAGAACATTTGGMCTTGAACTGAAAAGTTCAAGTTTGTAATATCTCATGCATATCCCTGGGGTTTTTGTCTAGTAATAGTTTGATAAATACCCGCAAAATTTCATTGTAGACTGGATTTAAAGTTTTCTTTTTCACAGAGGTCTTCCGTTTGCCCAGCTTGTATTTTTCTGGAAGCAGGTAAGTCTTTACATACCTAAAATTTAAACAGGTTGATACAAACAAACAAACAAACAAATCAACCACCTTCCAACTTTCCAACTTCCTCATTCAAAATACATAAGTCAGTGAAAAACAAAATACAGTGGTTTTCTAAAATAAAGTAATTCCATTTCACTAATCATTATTTGTTAAGCTTGTGCTATCTAAGAAATGGAAAGAGTGGTTTAAAAGTTATACAAATAGTGCTTACTGTTCCAAAGTAGGGAATGATTTTTCTCTGCCAGGAGGAATCTGTTGGAGTGTCTCCAACACCTACCAAAGCAGGATTTACCATCCAGAAAGTTAAATTTAAAGCCTGAGAGTAGAGTTTCATATTATTAAAGGTTTCAGCTTCCAAAGTTAATATGATGTAGTAATTTACAGYGGCAATTCTGTATTCATTTCAAAGAGGCAACAACCATCGAAAGCAGGTTATAGCCTCCTCATTCATTTATCTGGTTGTTTAATCCAACATGTGATAAACAAACAAAAAAACAATTTTCTTCATTTATTTATTAAAAGAAACTTTCATCAGGAAAAAATACATATAGATATAGTCTAGTTGTACTTACGGGTCTGAACGCTGTTGCTTAACATCTGCCACTGCCAAGTCTTTACACTGGCAGATAAAAATGTGGAGCTCCTTCAACTGCTCTACATAATCAATAGCAAACTGGATGTTCCCCTTCACATCAACATTGCCAAAATCTCCACTATAGATGCTCATTAGGCTTCCGCTCACCTGTACCAAAAAGGAGGATGAAAAGTTGTCAGTTTTGGAATTTGGCCAGATATTTCAAGATCAGGGTAGAAGTTCTGCTCAGAATTCAGACAGCAAAGCAATCAGCTCTGTCCTTTTAAGATGTAATTAAGAAATATGAGGGAGACTAAGCTTCTCAGCAAGCAAATTAACAAAGAATATTACTTATAAGTTTTAAAGGTGTTAGGCTAAACTTGCTATAAAAATGTGAATATAACATTAAGGTAGAAGTAAAATGTCAGAATGCTGCTCAAATGGTGACTGCCTGGGATYGGATATTTTAAATATCTCTTCAAGCTGATCTTTTCAGAGCCTAGGCTTTAAGGAATTAGGCCTTCTGAAAATAACAACAACAAAAACAACAAAAAATTAAAAATGAAGTCTTTACGAGACTGAGTTAAATATCTGAACARAGTATATTTGAAAACTAAACCCTAAATGGAGTGAAAAAAGAGGTATTTTTCTTTTACAAAAAAAMCTCTATCTTTCCCCCAATTTTTTCTTTTCCCATAAAGTGCACATAAACTAATGACTTTTGGTTGACCAGTCACTGACTGAATCACTACCTACCCCACAACAGTACTGCCTCCTTCTTTCCCTTAGTCTTTTTTCTCTTGCTCCCTTTCTTAACACTTGCTTTGTGTACATTGCCCCTCATTTTGAGCTAAGACTGCAAGCTCTTTGGGTAAAGACATCTCTTTATTATTCATTATTTTCTATGTAGAGTTCCCAGTACAGTGGAGTCCTGAGCAAGCTCCAGGATGCGACTACAGTAAATGCAAAATATAATCCATCCAAGACTCTGTAGAGAACTCAATAACCCACAACATCGGTCTTTAAAAAAGAAAAACAGAAATAACTGCTTCCATTTATATACCGTAACAGTGGCCTAGCACATTTTGTTTTGCTTCTAAAGGAGCTTCATGCAGGAGTTCATGTGGCAGATGGAAGGAAGGAGACAACGATGCCAAGGAAGGAAAGACAAGAGGAACGAGGAAGCAAGTRGAACGCTGCTGGAGAGATTAGCTCAAGCAAAGTGCCATTGAAACGTGGCTTTGTTTACATACAGAGGATAAGGAGGCCATGCCAGAAGAGCTGCTAAGATTGGTTAGAGAGCTGGGACTCTTCTTGATTCTGCCAAAGGAATAACTGCCTTCTGATGCTGTATCTGTCTCTCTGTCATCACTCTAAAAAACATCACAGAAAGAAAGTCTATGTAGGCACAAGAAACATTTAAAAAGATAACGCAGAATTTTAATAATGCAAACTGGGACTTGTAAAAACCTGAATTTAAACCCCCTTGGAGTGCAATCTTAATAATTAATATGTTCTTTAAAAGTTCATGCACTTAAAAAATGTTGAAAGGGAATTTTTCAGAAGGAAAGTCTTCTTTTAAAGCAGGAATGCAACTAACCTCTCTTTAATCTCATATAGTAACAGAAAGTTTAAAGTTCATTTTATTGGGACAAGTAAACTCATTTTCACTACAATAAAAAATAAAATAAAATAAAATAAAATAAAATAAAATAAAATAAAATAAAATAAAATAAAATAAAATAAAATAAAATAAAATAAAATAAAATAAAATAAAATTTTGCAAATGACGATTCTATTGCTTCTCAAGTCTCTATCTTTTGGACAGTTAGTTGGGAGATACCATGCACAGAAGAAGAGCACTGAATACACCAAATGGCCTTTGGAAAACACCTTTATTGCAAGAGAGCAAGCAGAACCTCTAGTTTTGGTTTGGTGTAGACCAAAACCTCTGACCAAAACTAAAGGTTTGGTCAGACTGTGTGCTCACAAACTCATTCTCTCTCCATGTCTTCCCTATACAAAAGACACGTCTCTGTAACCTCCAGATGTGCTTTGGGTTCTTCCTACACAAGTTATCACCCTGTATTGCAGCTGTCAATGTATAATAAGGCTTTCCCCCTCCTTGGTACTTCAGCAGTCACAGACCTTCCACTAGCAGATGAAATTAGTAAATATTATTTCCTATTAGTAAATATTAGTAAATATTATTTCCTAAAAAGCTTTTAAAAATAATATTTATAGAAATGCTTTTGAATAATTCACTATAAACATTTTGTTACCCTAGTTTCTCTGACTACACCTATATAATATACAAATCATGTCTTACAAGCTAAAATCAAAAAGGTATTACAAGACAGTTTTAAGACCAGTTACCTTATTAAAGACCAATTTGGGGGATAGCATTAATAGATTTGAGTACTAAGAATTTCTTAGAATATCACAAATTACCATCCTAAAACCCTTCCTACCGTACATGACCTACCAGGTTATGTAAATTCCATCATTTTTTTTTTGTTTTTTTTTTTTTAAACAGACTGCTTCATTCAGAAACCACCTCAATCAATTTTTTAAACTGCTTTAACTGGTTTAAGCTTTAACTGGTTATTTTCAGATGGCCAGTTATCCACTTCAAACTTGCTTGGTATCCCAACTCTAACACTTTGAGCTCCTAATCTTTTGATTTGTCCACAGTGCAATGCCTTAGAGAGGTTTCCCTTGCGTAGCTCTCCCAAAAGGGCATTAGAAAGCTGTAATTTTACAGAATCTTTATTTAAAGAAGTGTTGCCCATAGACACTGAACAGTATTGAGTTATGCACTTGAAGAAAACTGTTTCATTGCATTTTGGATATTTCAAACTTTCAGAGGAAGAGCAGGAGAAGGCAGGGCTGAGCATAGTCCTGAAAGTCCCTTCAGCCCTGTCAGCCACTTATTTTTAGAGAAACAACCCAAAATATCAATACCTCTGCTGACTATAGTTATAGCAATAAGGATGGAGCAAGCAGTGTAACCATTCCTCAGTTAATAAAATATTTTTTTTTTTTTGTGGCATTTATGACCCAAATGCCTGTGTCACATCTAACCCTGTGCCCACTAATCCATATTCATCACTGACAGGGCTCAGGTGTTTATTCCACCATCTGGGAGACCTGGAAGGCAGCATCTGTAACTGGTTTTGCTGTGAGGTTGCAGGGCATGAAGGGCAGATTTCACATGCACCGTAGCCCCACAAATCCACACAGAAACCATTTTCTGAGGTGCACAAGAAAAATGCAGGGCCCTATTGCATTATCCAAGTTGAACAGTGCTGAAGAACTTCCTCTTCTCCATGCCCTATGACCAGTGAAGAATACCTGCACAGAAACACTCAGCCTGTCTACTTCAGCTGTTCATGGTAGGAGGTTGGTGCTTGRCCCATTTACAGCCTCCACACTTCTATCCACCCACTGTTTGGAGAGTGCAGACTAGGCAGCTCATATTGCTGAACACCCTCAAACATTAATGGCAGATTGGGAATAAGCTCTCAGTTAACATGTCTCCAAGGCCCCTCACTGTACTCCTCTTTTTTTATTATTATTTTAAAATAAAGACACAGACTAAATTGAGGCTACGTAAAAAGATACAGTATGTTGTTGAAAAATAAKGTTATTTACACAGAGAGGGACAGCCAGGTATCCAAACCCAGATCCCTGCAGAGAACACCAAGCGAATATCTTTCTGAAAAGGGTCACCAGATGGTGCCATTCCACCATAGTGCCTATAKTCTTACAAGCTTATTTTAGTCTATCAGCAATGTACACTCTGGAAATAAAATCCTTAGCCTCTGAGATAAAACATGCACTCTATGTAGATCTGTACAGGAGGAATAAATCTCTGTTTATTGGGCTAAAAAGTTCAGAAAGATGAAACAACCACAGGCTGCTGCTTGTGATCATCTCCTCCTAGTTGCTCTACAAACCTTATTATTCAATAGAGAACTTGTCAAACCCTGAAAAGTACTATCTTCCTAGTTCATAATACCACAGTAAAGGAAAGCTGTAGTCACATTATTTTGAACACAAAACTTACCTCGTCCTGTAGGAATGATGGTACTGACTTGCTCAGTCCTTTGAGTTTTTCAGGATGCGAAAACAGTTTATTGGGTTCTGGAGGCACTGTGGAAACTAAAGAGCAGCAGCAATTCAAAAGTTTCAAAAACAAGTTTGTACATCAAAAGAGTGAGATTCCATAGCAGGGAATGGTTAGAAACAAACAACTTCAGATGAAATACATGCACATGCACAACCATTTCACAACTTAGATGCAAGCTTCTTTTCACTGGACTCAGGTAAACTWTGGCTAGGACAATCTAGTTGACATCTCCTGTAACACTGGCCACAGTGTTTTGTCTGGCAAAAGAAGTTTTCATGTTGCATGACATCATGTACAAACACAGGTGCTACAAGAAAATTCTGATCAAACACAGTGAAAAAAAAAAAAGTTTACTTTTCAGCTTTTCTTTCTAGAAAAGTGTATTTATACACTACTGTTGACATTAGAGTCATTGTAAGGTCTTGGTAAGAAGTTGATATACAAGCCAGCTGCTTTCTTATCTACTCAGTCTCATTAATGGCAATAGGAATATTTGTGGAAATGAAGCAGTGTTTAGACCTGAACAAGGAAGTTACAAATATTCCTAGGGAGTTATATAATAAAATATTCCTCAGTAATTAGGTAATATTTATCCCAATATCTTGCAGCAGATCTCTTCAACTTTCATATAGCTCTAATGAATTTCACTTGGGTGTTCTTGGATGATTTCACTGTACAAAGCTTAAGTGCACAAGCCATCCTTGCAAAAATCCTGTCTGCAGTAAACCCACAATTCTCAGAATTTTCTGTGCCACAAACCTACTCATATTTAACAACATATTAAAATTCCACATATTAAAGGCATTTGACTGGATGCACATTGCAGAAGACAATACTCAGTATCTGCTAGCGTGGAATCATTCAGCAACAAACAGCCACCTACAACGGCACTGAACTACGGCATAAATTTAAGCATTTAAAAAAATTCCTGGATGAGATTGTTTGCAAGGCATAAATCGAGCTCTTCCAAAGCTTTTGGCACTGAAGCTCAAACGGCACTAAACGTATCAGTTACTGTCAGTATGCAGTTAGACGCAGTTTCCTATTTGGCAAGCATTTAGTCTAGCTGCATAACTTGTTAGTTATTACAAAAAAAAAAAAGATTTTTAATTTATTAGTTTAGATATCAATGGAGAAATCTCTCCACTATCTGGTGAAAGAATCCTATTACTCACTTCCTGCTGCATTTCCGTTCCTCTCTCCAGGCTGATCAGGTTTCAGATCTGCTCAGTGCAGTATTGACAAGAGTCACTCAGGAGCAAAAACTTTGCAATATTATAAATAGTATCAATATATTTTATGTGTGGAAAGTCTCAAGCTCTCTAAAGACCCTGCATTTTTCTAGCTTACATCATTCTCCTGACGAGCTGGATCATAATGAAGGGAATAACAGGGTATAAGCTAAATGAATCAAAAATGTGAATGGAATTTTCAAGAGAACTTGCTTGATTCTCTTTTCTCAGCTATCAGTTTGATTGTGCTGGCCATTTTTTCAAAAATTCACCCTCCTCACGCTCATTTTCTGCTAAGTAACTRCATATTCCAGATTGAAATTACAGCATATTTTCAGTAGGGTCTACCACTTGGCTCCCTATTTCGAAGTTCAAGTCCAGTGACTCATCTCTTGCTGGATTTGCTGGATTGTCAATACAAAGGGATTTGGAGAGGTTCATTTTCAACAGATTTATTCTGAAGGGTGTTCCATGTGAGTAAMAGTCAATCTTGCACCTTACAATGCAACAGATGAGGAGGCAAATTCAATATTTAAATGAGATCAGTCTTTCAACTGAGTGAACGTTCAAGGCTCCCAATGACTTCAGCAATCTTTTCATGCACAAAAGGATCAAAACCTGAAATGCACTGATAGATGGAAGAGTTTCTACAGGAACAGCAGGACATAAAATAAGCATATGACTTAAGAATAAAATAACACACACAAATCTACAAAAGCATTCAAGTCATGCTGAAGCTAAACAGATCTACAAGAAGAACACAATTCTTAAGTTTGGAAAAATCTTTCACTGACAAACAGAGGACACTGAAAAAAGAATAAATTTCCATGCAGACACAAAACATATTTACCATCTTCAGCACTAAGAGCTAATTCTTCCTTTGGAATATTTATTTTTCCTTTATCTGTGCAGGAAAAAAGTAACACATAGTTAGAAAGCTTGCTGTTCAGTACAATAGAACGGACTGCAGTGGTAGCCACGGAGTTAGTAGGAGTGAGGGCAAAACCTCCCAGCGACATGGTTAAATTCAAGAAATTCTTTCTACTTAGAGCACTACTTCAAGTCTGCTTCCAAGAGGGGAATGTTATCATTGACACAGCTTCTATCAGTGTTGTTGTAGCAATATTAGTACATCTACACCTAAAAACAATGAACTCGTTAGAAGCATGCAATAGCGTAAGTAATATTAGAGGAGTAATTTGTCCACAACAACTAACATATTTAAAATCTATGCCTCCAGATTCCAGTTTATAAATATGCAGTCAGTTTATGTCTTCTCATGAAAGAAGCCATGAAAAAACAAAAAAAACACTGAATACTGTTGGGCAGGATAAAGGGAGACAGCAACAACAAAAAAAATCTTAGGAGGCTGCAGATGGAGGTATAAAATTAATTCTACTGCCCAATAAATAGAGGCAAATTTTCAATTATTTTCCCCAATATCTGTTTGCTTATATTAACTATTAGAATAAACACACGAAACTCCAATAGACTAAGTAGTTTTTCATACTTCTAYTAATTTGTCCCAAGCAAGCAGCCTAGAAAGAAGGGCAATTCTTGTTGAATTCCTAGTTTGGATATTTGCCAATACTTCTGCTATATAAGTCTTTACTACTATCCAGGAAATAGTTCATCACCGATTAAAACAAKGCACTTTTTCCTGATTTCAGTGTTGTTTCAAAATAAACATGAACAGCTGAAAACAAAATTGTTTGAGAAATTAAGTGATTTTTTCAGTTCTACTCTATACTCTTCACTGAGAGCAAAGTAAGACATAAATATGGATCTCACTTTAAAAGCACTTTGTGTGCTTATTCAGAAAGTGATTCTCCTGCCAAGGTTCAGTGTCAGGGTACTAAAATGTTATTTGGCAAAGCTGTGTGGAAGAACAGCATGAACATGTTTAAGCCAAACTGGGGGTCATAGGAGACACAGACAACTTTGTGCTCACTTGAGGTGGCTGATGGAATGTCCTCTAGACTTTTGGAAGGCACTTTCCTATCTGCACTCCTTTTCAAAGCCATCAAAACAGGGTTTAATTCTTCCGAACCTGTTACAAGACAAAACATGTGAACACTGCACACAAGGACATGCCATTTTAAACAGCTCAGTAAAAAAACCCACTGATCTGTCACAAGCAAGCACAATGAACATTCAATGAAAACATAAATTCACTGTCGAACTGAGGGATGCATTGTATTCAGTTACTTCAAAATTAGAGATACAGGAATAGGAAATTATTTTATCCTTCTATGATAAAGATGTTCAAAACGAGTCTTATGAGTTATGTTATGAATCAGCCCTACAAAGTTATAGTTTCATTTTTTTCTCTGTGCAAATTTGTCTTTTTATTTCCTCTCCTGTGAAAAAATTACCCTCTATTTTAATACTTGAACAACAGCCACAAGTAAATCAGTGGTGGAGATTCAGATTCCTGAAATTTGCATGTACGTGTCTCTCAAGGCAGGTCTAGCACTTTCAAAATTAATTTTTTCAGACTCTCTTTTCTCCCTATCCCACTTTTGCCCTCACTAACCATCAGCCAGACCTTACAGAGACCAACACCGTAACTCTGGGTTAAAACAAAATCTCTTCACCTCTTCCTTATCTGCCATGCAGATCAGAGCTCTCATTGACCTTCACTGGCATCTCAGGTAAATAAAATGCTGAATGGTTAGTTGGCAGACCCTTAAAACTTCACACATTTCACATCAGTTTCTCCAGGTGAGGAAAGTATTCCCAATTTAGCCTTTTTATTCTCGTCCTGAGAAAGTATTACAGAATCACAGAAACACAGAATAGCTGGAAGGAACCTCTAGAGATCATCTAGTCCAAACCCCTGCTTCAGCAGGGACACCTAGAGCACATAAAGCATGTCCTASATGCCACAATGACTGCCACACTTTATACATGGATTAGAGCCATCATCTAAGCTAATATTGAAAATTCTGGTACAGGATCACTTTTCCTTTACAATAATATTCTAGTGCAACAGCTAACTATACTAAATTAAAACAGYACTACGTTCTCTCTGGAATATACTTCAATATTGTCTTCATATCCAGCCATTCTATTGATAGGTATTTACTTTCAAGAGATAGCTGACAAAAAGAAATAAAGAAAATAAAGCCACAGTTTTTGGGGTTTTTTTTGTTTTTTTTTTTTTACTTCGTCTTTTCTGGATATTTTAAAGACATACCAATATATGAGCAATACAATGTTACTAAACCAAAAGAGTTGTCATAAGGAAGGAAGCAAAGGGTAAAGCACCCCTTGCATTGGGTATGCAAAGACAATTGATTCATCTTGCTAAACTTGCCTAATCAGAAAAGATTACCAATGCAGTACATGCTTATCACAATATTTTCCACCTAATTCGTTCCTCCCRTTCCCCAAAATATCTAAAGATTCAATAAAGTAGGTAAGTATCCCAGAATTTTAGCTCTCATATTTGAAAATGGCTGTTGCAAAACTTGCAGCCATGCTTAACTACCAAACACCAGGAATTTTAGAAATCAAGCAGCTCACGAGTTGAAGTTGTGGTTCCAGACTGGGAATCAGAGTTTTCATCTGAAAATTCAGATCCCAAAGCTGAGCTGTCACCTTCCTCTTCATYGTCATGGTGAGATGTTAGGCAGAATTGCATTGCCTCTGACTGGGGGGAGTTATTCTCATTCTTAAGAGGTGTGCTTGTTCTTCTAAATTTCAATGGTGCTTTTAATTCAGAGTTATTTTCAGAAGCAATCAAGGATGTGCTTCCACCTGTCTTTAAGCTTTCACCCATCTTGAACAACTTGATTGTAATTGTCTTGGTCTCCCTTTCTGAGGCAGGAACATCTCTTGGAACCGTATTTCTCTGTTCTCTTTTATAAAATGTMGCATTTCTTTTAGGGAGATCAGAAGATTCAACTTCATTGACCACAGGATCAACCACTGAACTTCTGGGACTTTGTTCCAAACTTTCTCTCCTGATACCTATTTTCATCTCTGTATGATAGTTACTTGGAGCATTATGATAATACTGTGGCACTGTCATGGACAGAGTAATCTTTTTAGATGGAGATACAGGATTGTGAAACTCTTCTTGTCCATGCAACTCTTTGGACACTGGAGAAGAATCTTCAGAGGCTTCTCTAAGAAGCTTTTCTAGGGAATTATTGACTTCAAAGTTTGCATGACTTGAAGCAAAAGTGGKTTTGATAATTTCTTTTATTTCTTGAGGATGATCCTTCTCTTGCTGGTACAGAGAACACCTACTTTGCCTCATTTGTTTTTCATCTTGCATTTCCTTATCCATATCTTTCAGAATAGGAGGTGGTATCTCAGAGGCCTCTTTCAGAAGCTTCTGCAAATTAATATTAAATATATCATATTCAGCTTTGGATGGAGCAACCGATCTTTCTATGGTCTCACTGACTTCCTGATACGACTCTGCATCATCTGCATCTATCTGAGAAYAGATGACACTTTCAACTGGCATCTCAGCAGCCCTGGCCACTTCATGATCTGAACTCCTTGGTTTAGGTGAAGTTTGAGAGGCTTCCTTCAGCAGCTTCTCCAAAGCAGAACTCAATCCATTGGGCTTGGCTCGAACAATCAATCTTTCTGTGGTCTCACTGACTTCCTGAGGTGACTCTGCATCACTCTGATAGGTCACACGTTCAACAGGTAACTCAGCAGCYCTAGCTACTGCATGGTCTGAACTCTTTGGTTCATGTGGTGAAGTTTGAGAGGCCTCCTTCAGCAGCTTCTCCAAAGCAGAACTCAATCCAATGGGTTTGGATGGAGCAATTGACCT